GTTTGCTTTGTCTCTTGCCCCCAATTTCAGACATGTTCCTTGCTCTGTGTTGATACAGACTGTTTGCTCATCTCTCCTCTTGATGCTGTTTTATTTTCAGCTGAGGATATTGATTCACATGCAGATCCCACTGGAATTACTACTGGTACCTTTTTGCACAGCTTGGTGGCTGTTTAGCACTAACAGCTAAATAAATAGGACACAGCACTGTTCTCAAACCATTACAGGTTCATACTCCAACATAAACCACTGCCAACTTTGTCACGTTACTAGTCACAATAGCAGCTTCCATGAGAAAAACTGAGCAGACAACTAGGAACTGTTTCACACAACTGTTTGATCTACTACGTGCAAGTCAACACCCTACGTAATACAGCCTGAACTAGTCAGAAGTAAAATCCAGGCTTTAATTGTAGTTGCTACTAAAGTGAGGAGATGCTTTGGGCTACAGCTACGCATTATGCCAGCCTAATGTCAACCACCACCTACGTACCTGCTGCTGCCCCCCCAACTTCCACCTTCACCACCTGTCTTCTGCCTTTAACCTGCCATTGGTATTGAAGCGACGAGAGCAGCAGCCTGTCCGACCTGGAGCTTAGCAAGAGTACTGCAGGTATGGCCAGTGCCTTATTTTTGTATGGAAGTAGAGCATTTATTGACAGATGCAAGTGTTCTCATTAGATCGGCTGATAGAGTAGGACAAAAGCAGCAAAGCCCCAGACGTTGAACGTGTGGTTGCTGAAGCCACGCTCGATTTACAGTGCTTCACCAGCAGCTCACGCTACAGCCACACGGGCAATACCTGCCTCTTCGGGTCTCATTTCCCATTACTTCTAACACACACCCCATCCTCTTTGAAGACATGATGGGGAATATTAACTGCACCTCTTGGACAGCGCCAAGATAAAAAGGTCATGTTGTACATAGCCCACCATCCTGAAAGGCTGAGGCAAGCGGTGCTGGGATGAGCAGCATCTTCTCCCCACTGGAGGGGCCTGTCTCCCCCCCACACCTCCCGGCAGGCCGCCTGCTTGTGCTGCGCCCTCGGGGCTCGCTGGTACCCTACACGGGCTCCCTGGTATCCTACACTGCTCCCACAGCAACCAGGAGCCTCCCTCTAGCACATGAGTACTGCCAGTCGCTGTGGTTGAAAAAGTACTGGAACGGTAAATACCTTTTTATTTCCAAATACTTGCAGAATTCTAACACACTGAAAATTATACTCATTTGGATACTAAAAAAAACCCTTCAGTTTAACCCAATGTTCTTTTGAAATGCTGTTTGACAACCAGAGAGGGAAAACAATGAAAGACTTCAAGTTTTCATGTATTTTATTTACAGGCCGCACAATACATTTTATATACAAATGGCTTAAAATAACAAAGAGTAAGCAAGTTGAAGCATAACAGTTTGATTATTTTAAATTAGGTTGTCTTGAAATAACTCCTGCAATAAAGTATTCTTCACCCTGATAAGCAAAAGTTAGTTCGATTTTAAGTCAACCCAAGGTCCTTTCATTTTTAAATACAGAATTCAAATCAGTTTTCTGGCAATTCCATAATTTTATGATACACTTCCGCATATATAGAACATCCCCAAACTATCAAGAAGGGAAATAGCCAAAATTTCCCCAGGAAAAAAAAAACACCTGTGTAACAGAATAGACTGGAGAAATGTTGTATGTAAAACACTTGTGTGTTTTATTAACACAAAGAAGAATGTGAGAGATACAACTGAGATTTTTCTCTCTTGAAAACAGAATTTATGGTCTGGGATCTAATTTGCCTGCAGACAAGAGGCATCCTACGTTACTTCAGTACTTCAGTTTTTACTGCACAATTATCTACTAAACTCATCCAACTGTAAACTTCACCAAAACTGAAACTGCCTCCTGCACCGAGCAAAAGGAGAAGAGCACTCAAAACCGTAAGAACTTACATTACAGCACTTATCTCGCCTCCGCTTCTAGAAAACACCCTACACTACCATGGCATGGAGAAAAGTGAACGCAGACCATGTTTTATGGAAACGTAAGAAAATATAGGAGTTTGCCATTTTAAAATTATTTTTCCAAGAAATTATATTAACATTTAAGGATACATGTATTTTTACACCTCTTCCCTAACACTGCTCCTTCTGTTCAAGATTACAGCAACAACTAGCAATTAACGATAAAAGCTGTTTCCTTTTCCTTTGGCTGATTTTAAGTATTGTAATAGTCTTAAGTGTTTTAAGTCATGGTCATAGCAGTCCAGTCGTGCTCGCTTTCTTCCTCTCGGTATGGCTAAAGACCACTTAATATAAATAACGAAGTACTTGCTACTTGATAGTCCATGGTTACAGTATTTGCTATGTTTATTTAGAAATACAAACACACAACACTTACTTTTTGATGTAGTGTCCAGGTCTCTGCAGCACACTTTGGAATTGCAGCACAGAAAATGTAAACCCAAAGGAATGGGGGGGGGCGAAACTAACAAAAGCCACGGCTCCACAGAAAAAGAATGTGGTTTTTCAGAATGTCTACTACTGCATCAAAAAATGCAAGAGCCACATGATGTAAAATGCCAAACGAGGCCAGACTCACTCTGCCGAGTGAAATTTGTTCAAAAGGGTAAAATTCTGAACTGACATAAGCACCTCCTCACGTGAGTTAATTCAGAAGGAATTTTGATAGATAATACACAGGTCTGGTCCAAATGAATGTGAAGCTCCAGTCCTTAGGTGTGGCCAGTTCCCTGGCTGCTAGCCTGCCCGGACGGGGCCAGGGGAGCGCGGCCGCGGGGCGACGTGCTGCTGCCAGGCACCCCGAGGGCTGCCCTGCAGAGGGGGCGCAGAGCTCCTTGCCCACACGCAGCCCCTGCCTGCCCAGGGGGACAGGCTGGCAGCCGAAGAGCCAAGGAGATCCCTGGGGTTTAGCAGAGAAGGTAGATCTCTCCAGAGTTACCACATACAGAAATATGTTCACTTCCCCTCCAAATGATCCCAGCGCTGCTGTCCCAGGCAAATACAGCGCTCGAAGTGACAGGCTAGCAACCCTTACACTGAATTTGGGAAAAGTCACTGTGCAGTACGCACCTGCCCCAGCGTGCCAGAGTTTTGATTCATCTGGAAAAAGTCAACTGTCTATTGCATCTCCTTCTCTCTCCTCACAGTCAGGATTACTCGTGCTGTGGTGTTTTTTTTTTTTCCCCGGCTAAATACTGAAATCCCTTTTGGCAGAAGGACGCAGTGTCAGAGCACTGCCAGCCCGTAAGGAAACTGTGCTGTCCTTTACACACGCAGAGGGGACTGACCTCTCTGCATTAAACGAGGTGAACTAAATGACCTGAAAATTTGCCTCCAAAAGGAACAAGTAGGAGACACATCATCTCCCTTGCATTTTTGTATTGGAAATCAAATCATTTAGTCCCCTGAGATCTACCTTCCATTTGAACTTACCTGCTGTTTTAGCCAACTGTCACCTGCAGTTGCACGTGAAGTGCAGGGGAGTAACACCAGCCTGCACATTTTTAGTGAAAAGCAACTGCCTTTGAAAGTCTTTTACTTGATTCTGAAAAAAAAAACCAAACCCAAACAATCTGTGTGTAGCACTGTGGGAATTTTTCTTTTTTAAGATTAGTAAACAAAAAGCGTTAGCTGACACTGTCCGTATCTAAATGACACTCATGATTTTTGTCTTTAAAATTTTACTAGCAGAAAAATGCTACCAGGGTGTCCTTACTCAAGGAGAACTACTCAATGCACTGTCATTCACAGGCAAAGCTTTTGTTTTTCTTAAGCACAGGCTATTCAGGTCATCAGTATTTGTCTCTGACTGGGCCACTTTTATTTTCAGATCACAGGGTTTTCTACTGCCACATCGTAAGCAGCATGACTCTCTCCATTTCTCATTTGCCAGATCCTCAAACACTACGTAGTTAGCGAAGTGAGTTTCTCCATGCTCTACAATGTGGTGGTTAGCCATATACAAACCAGGATTTTCAACTAAAACAAAACACCAACAATTTTGGCTTCTATTCTGATAATCCAAAAAGTCACTGACAAGACTACGTTTGTAATAGTGTAAGTAGAAATTTTACTTTTTTAAAAGTAATAATTAAACACTCAGTTACATAAGGTACCGATTTGTCAACTGGATAATCAGTTGGAAAATTGTTTCCAATATGGGCTTTAAAACATTCTTTTACGTACATGCAAAATATAACCATACCTCCTCTCTGCAGGAGAGAGACCACTTGTTGTCAAAGGAAAAAAAAAAAAAAACATGCTGGAAGTTGTAATTAATATGAGGAGTGGCTCTTGGTAAGAGTTTTAACTACAGTCATTTTATCAGTTGTTCAGAGAGACTCAATTGCAATATTAAAATGTTTTGTGGAATAGCAGATATAAAATCGATTAATTGGCACAATCACAAGTTTACAGAGAATTAGAACTAGTGTCAAACGTTTTGCTGTTGCTTTAAATACTGGTCATTTTTCCTTTGGTTACTTCCTATAATGAAGTATTTGTGGTAAAAAGACGACAATGTCAGCTTTTCACACAAAATAAAATAATTACGGCTGTTGACATTTAAGGGAAAAAAAAAATATTTCATCACTTGGTAAGGACATACATAGTTTATTTGACAGAGGAACTAAAACACTACAACTCCAAGAGGGAGCTGAGAAAGAACTACACTCTTCATTCTTCTCCTCACTTTCAATGTTTCTCAAAGTTCAATTTGGAAATTATTTCATCAAAATAAAATTAGGTCTCTAAATAACTGGCCCACCTGAAGTAAATAGCACAAAGTTATAACCTATCTGACTTGCCTATTATTATCTGAATTTCCACGTTAACTACCTAGGTTTAGGTATTATTTTCGTGTCAATCTATAAAGTACTTTCCAATTTTTGCAGACCTTAAGCTTACATGTTAAGGCACTTACCATTCAAGTAAAACAGTTTTTATATAAACAAGCCTGGGAGATGGAGAGAACATTTTACCACAACATCCACTTTTTTTTTTTCTTGAAAGAAAAAAAAAACATTGACCAAATATTTATAAAATTTTGCATCAAGAGAAAGGTTGTGTTTTATTATCTGAAATGAGCACAAAGTACACCTTCCACAATAACACTGAAAGCAGTGCAAAGACTGACAGTGACCTTTGACTAAAGGTAGTTCTGTAAAAAGAAAAATACCAAATAAATCAGTGCCCTGCTTTGATTGTTGTAAAATTTTTTTTTACATAAAAGTTGGTCCAAACTTACAAAAAAAGCACAAATGTGCATAGTTCAGATCTGAAAGAGTGCAGATCTGAAAGAGTGCCATAAAAAGCTGATGTCCCTAAATTTAGCATCCACTTAAAACTGCCAAAATACAAAATAAAATTCAGAACTAGAGTTTGTGAACATGTACAATTAATTTATCTAGTTTTCAGACAGCATGAGTTTTAAGCATTTTTCATTTTTCCTACTGTATGCAAGACCCTTTTCCACATAAAAATAAAGCTGTTGAATTAACATTATTCAAGTCTGTTGAATTGCTGCTTTAAACTGCAGCTAGGAGAAAAAAAAAAGTTTTTCCAGATAAAAATGATGTGCCTGAGGAAAAACAGATACTCAATATGGTAATCCTCTGCCTCGCCCTCTCACTGCAGATGTGCTAATGTGTCCCCTGTATCCTTGGGAATAGCCAGGTCCTTGGGCAGGAGAAGTCCAAGTCTGTCCATGCAGGTGGCTGATGCCACTGGGATTTTCCTGTAAGTTACTTCCATAGCTATAGTTGTGCATCTTTGTGGGCAAAGAGTGCGTGTTCTCGGGCCCTGCGGAAGCGTCACTGCTGCTCCCCAGAACCGGGATCGGGCCGTGGCTGTATTCGAACCTATGGTCTTTATCTCCACTAAATAGCATGGGGCCAGGGTTGAGGTAAATGTCTCCATAACCAGTTACTGAGCTGGGAAAGGATTCTGAAAAGGCCGACGGAGGAGGGGCAGCACCAGAGTGAGATGAAGCAGTACTGTAGTTATCCAAAGACTGAATATCCGAGTTCCCAAGGAAGCTCCTCCTTTCCAACGCTCCCGACGATCCGCTTCCTATTCCGTCGCTACTGCCATAATGGGCAGACGAGAAGGAAGATGATCCAAAGTTATCCTTGTAGTCTGGGCCCGGTACGTAGGAGTCCCTAGCCTGGTAATCCACACTCGGTTGGACTGGCTCCTCCGTTGTCGCCTGAGCTTGGTGCTGAGCGAGCAGCTGCAGAAGAGCTGCTTTCACCCCCGCGTGAGGATCTGTTCCTGAAGAGTTAGTTATAGGCAAATGCTGGTTCTCTGTCCGATAATCAAGGTCTTCATCAGTGAGAGGCGGAGGTTCCGGTGGCTCTGGGGGACGCTGGTCTGGAGGCAAGATCCGAGGGCGTTCTGGCTCAGGTGTTCGGTTTAGAAGCCTCATCTCAGACTGCCTAACCAAATCCTCTTGACCTAAGCAGATGAAAAAGAAAAGCTTTGGAATACAAATACACAGTGACAATACCAGGAAGGAAAGGACTCTATCCTAGAACAATACAAAGGCTTATTACTTCAATTCTCATTAACTTCTAAGTTAAATCTATCGGTAGTTGGACAGATTATTTTGGAGAAGGCAACAGCTCATTTGCGTCACGAGGGTGATGCAGGTTTCTCCTCAAAGTAAGATCACCAGGCAAGCAGTTAAAGAGAAACAGTTCCTTTAAAAAAAAAAAAAACCCAAACAAAAAAACCCAACAAAACCAAACCAAAACTCAACACATAAACACTAGAAAACTCAAAGACGGATCAGAAACGATTTGCAAATAGGGATAAAAGTCTTGAGGGACAAAGGCCACCCTATCAAGGAACAGCAAAAGTTAGGTTTCTATGGGTGGTGGGTTTTTTAGCCTCAAAAAGCACCCCAAACCACTTAGAATACTTCTTTCAACAGCTGCAACCACCAGAGAGCTCTACACAAACCACCATATAGTAAAACTGAAACAACAATCCAAAAAGATTAACAACAGAGCTCTAAACTGTGAGAAGACTAAGGAAGCCACTACTATACCCCGATGGAAACCTTCAACCATGTGTGTTACTGACAGTTATGGGAAAACACTTACAGAATATCTGACACTGAGGAACTGCTCTAGTCAGCATTAGAAACAAAATAGGCTCCTCTCCCCAAAACAGTCTTTACTGAAACACTTAGTCACAATCAGCAAATTCCATCTATGAATTTGCTATAGAAGACTGTCTTCAGCACAAACACCACTGAGAGACCCCCAGAATAACAATCAATTTAAGGGTTTCACTACCAGCCCTTATGTACCTCTTAAGAGTGGGGATCATCTTTTGCTTTGTCTGCACAGTACTGTTCCAGTAAGACACAAATTTTCTACGATCCAGACGTAAAATGTGACGAAAATCAATTTAATCATTCCCCCTATACTCACACAGACTCGTATGGTTAACATGTTTACTCTTTATCCCCAAACTATTCCGTCTCCACTGCTCAAGGTTAGCAATAAAGACATTCAGTACCTGCAGACGTGTATAATGACTTGATCAGATGTGGGTAGCCCGGTGCCGGAGATTCCACGTCGTCCCGGCTGACAGACACAGGCGTGCTGGGCTCCGGAGGCTGCCTGAGTTGTAATGACATTTCATTTCCTGATCCGTTTTCCTTCTCCTCCAACACAAAATCTTTTTGTTTTGTTTGCTGAGCCTTTATTAACTGAGACAACAGAACAGCAAATGCACTCTGTACAGCTGCCTGGGCAGCATCAGTCTCAACTTTAGGCTGACTCAGCTGAGCAGGTGGTACAGGGGGCTGCGTGACGGGCGGCTGTTTTAGAGGCTCCTGTTCCGGTGGTGGTGGCGGAGGCGGCGGCGGCTGCTGCTGCTGTTCTGACTGTTTTTCACCTGCTGACAAAATTCCAGCAGGAAGATTTATTTTATTTAGTTGCTGCTGAGTCTCTGGGTTTACCTTAATATTCAACACTTGGGCAAACTGTGCCAAACTAACACTTGTTTTAGACTGTAGGAGGTTTAGCAGGATTGCCACTTCATTCTGGTTTAACTGCTGTCCAGTGCTTGTTTTTGCTAAAGACAAAAAAGGTGGTTTTAAGTATTATTTAGAACTGGCATATTTCAGAAACTCAAAAGAAAGACTAATCTAGCATGGCTGAGACAACTGGCAAAGCATGAGTTTGGACAACATAGAAATGGAATGCTTTTACATCTTAACTGCCTTTGGGGGAGCATCTATAGAAAATGGGACTAGTAAGATCCAATATAAAGAAAGTAACTTCCAAGGGTGCACACACACACTTGGACATATGAGAAACATCAAGCTGGAGCTCAATTTTCCACAATACAACTAAGCCAGGGCTTAGGGCCACCTGCTTTAGGCAGCTGTATGATTTCCAATCCCCGCAAAATTTCCTATCTTTGACATATCACATCCCTCTGTTAAAAAGTGGCCATCTGCAAAACGCATTTCCAGTCATATTCTGGCCCACTCTAATTCAGCATCTGGATTCTAACACCTGCTCAAGTGACCAGGCTCTAGGTGACCCAGAAGCTAGCGGTATAAATGCAAAAGCAAGTGCTGAGTTTGAAGGACAAGAAGTCAGTCACTGAGTAGCAGGAAAATGAAGGTTTGTGATGATATACAATTTCTTCAATGAAATGGAGTTTGCCACAAATAAGAGGAGATTATGATGATGCAGGTAAATATGAATAAGGACGTCAGAATATCAAAGTAGTTTCTTAGTTTCAAACACTCATTATGGTAGTTTATTTTGAAAGTAGAAGTGAAGGAGCATGGATTTCAACATGCCTTATGAGTAGATGACTTAAGAGAAGAAAGTAGTTAAAAAATGAGCGTGTGTGACTCTGCTGGCAGAGCCCTGATTTTTTTTTTTAACCCAGATCAACATGAATGCATTCTGTCCTCTTCTATCCCTGCCATTCTGCTAATTCACCAACATATTAATTCATAGCATATTCAAAGCTATGCCTGAAAAAATGGTCACACACACAAAAATATTAAGTATTTGCCTTGCAAGACGAAGAGCAGCACAGCTGGGAAGAGCTGCAAAACCCACGGCCCACTACCCTACTTGTGGATGTGCACCAGGATACAAGCACTTGCAACCTACTCCAGCAGGATCTGGAGATTTCAAGGCTTTTATATATTTAGATAAATATCAAAATAAAACCACCTTTTATTTGCCAATACAGAAAAAAAAAATCATTTCTAATGCCTTGTACTGCTGGCTCTCACTCAGATGTCATGTTTAACAGTTGATTTTGTTAACATCTGAGGATGGTATCCTCAACACTCAAACTTCTCTCGGGTTTTCAGTGAAAATTCAGCAGAAAAATGCCAAGCAGGGAAACTAATCTACCTATTCCATACTCTCTGTTTAGTTTCAAGTCCAAGAGCAAACCTTATTCTGGGAAATCTAGCAGTTTCTACCAGAACATAATTTTTGAGCTCTACATAGTTCCTGTTAAATTTTAACCTGCAGTAACCAGGGGTCCCATTCATGAGTCAGAGCATTATCAACTGATCCAAGGTGGTTTTAACCTCTTCTTTGGGATGTCCAGAAACAAATGCAACAGTTTTGTTTAAAGCATGCATTTGTACATGGAGTTCTTTAGTGTGCCTTATTGATGATATCTCAGGTGAATTATGGCTTACAGAAGTCTTTTGCTTAATACAGAAAACACTTCTATGCTGAACTAAGTTCCACTGAAAATTAAACTGTATTTGTTTCTGCCTAGATATATCTTCTAAGTACATATAGGCAAAGGGCATTATAGGTCTGAATTATTCCTTCTCCATTTGACTAGTTTATTTTGCATGGTTAGTATTGATGACTAATAAATATAGTAGTATCTCATCAGGTTGCCAGTTATAAAAGCACAAACAATTAACTGGTGTCCTTTGGACTCTTTAAACTTCCGTACAGTTTTCATTTGGGGGGTGGGGGGGTGGAATTTAAGGGCTACAGAAAGTCATGCTTGAAAATGCTGCCAAATCTTTAGCCTAAACATAAGGAGTGGCAGAAGCTCACAGCTGGCTTACAGTGAGAAACAGGATGAACAGGAGCAAGAGGCAATAAATTGTAATAAAATATGATCAAAAGAACTTTTTTCTGTATAACTCTGCACAGAGTCTTTGGAGCTCTACTCTGTTGTTAAATGAAGAGTTGATTCAAGATGGTTAGTATTAAAGAATTTTCAGGGCCTATGAATGCATTTACTGTTTTTCTTCAGCTGATCTCCTGTATCAGCGTCGTAAGATTTATGTGCAAAGGCACAATAAAAATGGTCTAAATTAAACTTGTCATTTGGTATTGTTACTTTCTATATTTCTACATATTATGAGGGAACTATCCCCAAACTTCTGGGTATCTCAAATGGTGTCCACAGAGGACACCATTACCTTCCTCTTTGTATTATATTCATAAAATTGGTCTCCAAACAAGATACTTTAGTTAAGTTTCAGAATTATAGGCTGTGCAATCTACAGAAGTATCTGCTTCTTGTTATATCAAGTTTTGGGAGGGGTTTTTTGGTGTTTTTTGGTTTTGGTCGTTTTGTTTGGGCTTTTTTTTTTACAATTTGGTTCAGCCCCAACAACTTGAAAAGCTGAAGACTGATGTAACATGCAAAAGGAAACTCTTTCATCTGAAGTTTTGATTGTCCTAAAATCTGCCTTCTGATCAGTTTATCAAAACCAATAAAGCTCCTCCAACCTATGGAGATTGTGAGGAACTTAGAATAGCAGCTGGGTTTTGGGATTACTGAATAATTATAGAAGAGAAAGACAGAATCCCCTCAAAATACAGAGCAAGGTAGTTCCTCTGACAAGACTGAAAAAGTAAAACTTAAAAAGAAACACTTAGTTTCCAAAAGCAAAGGTAAATCTTTTGTAACAAAGATTTAACTTACAATACTGTTCCTCCCTCAAGAATCCAGGAGACGTCAGTACTCTGAAATAATACCTAAAGTTTCTAGAGGTGCAATCCAAGTAGAAGGTAATGATAAGAACTAAAAATATTACTGACCAAGTGCTACACTAGAGTTGCCCTGAGTTTTGAGTTGGGAAGAAGTTTGCATGCCTTGTGGGGTGTTGGTTCTGCTCTCATCCATGCCTAGAGACAGATCCTTCCTTGGGACTTTAGTTGCTGTTGAGTCATCAGTCATGCCCATCTGCTTCTGTCTTCTGCGTTTCTTACTCCACAGCTCATGACAATCCTGCCACAAAGGAAGGCTGCAAAGAATGAATTAGAGATAATCAGTTTTATCCTTTTTTTTTTTTTTTTAAAAAAGTGTTTTTTTACCATGTTAGTAAAATAAATGCTCAAATTATATATACACAGTGTAACTTTTGAAAGATGAACCTACTGGAACTCAGAAAAACATCAGAAACATGCAAAGCCCTCAAAACTTCAGCTCTGCTTTTCCTGGCTGAAATTGCTTCACTGATTCACTGTTTCAGAAGCACAGGTCCCTCTGGCAGAAAAGGGGGAACATGTGTTTTAAAATGAGAATCAATGTTACTTTCTTGCATTCCTACTTATGAAAAGCCTTGTTATTTGTGTAATTCAAGACTTCAAACTCAGTGCTGCACACTTGCTATAAAACAGAATTTGCAGAGTAACAGATAACAGAGTTATCAATATGAAAGTGGTTTTTTTCAGGGTCTGAGCGACCAATTCCTTTTATCTGCTTGTAAAAGTACTACTGCCTCATGACTTCAAGTATTTGTCCACAGTAACAGTTATGGCTATCTAGTATTTATAGTAGACAACCAGGAAAGTAGGAGAGAGAAAAAAAAAAAACAAACAAAACAGAGAAAAGCTGCAGGAATAACTTGGAAGAATAAATAGCACTTGACACTAGCAAAGTTAGGAAACTAGGAAGAAGAGCTATCCCAGTCCTTTAAGACAGATAAAAGCAGAGGCAAGCGTCTCCTAAAGAAGTCATCTGCCACCAGTTCTGTCCTTCCATTACTGTTCCCTGCAGGCATCCCAATTCTGATTTCCTGAGGGACACAGAGACCCATCCAATAGATAATGGAAATACTGAGACAGGCAGTAAAAATAGTACCTTCTCTTTTCCTGTTACATATTAATAACTGAACAGTTCCCTCATCCAGGAACATGGAAAAATTAGGTGACAGATGACAAGAGCCATTGTAAAGGCTATTATGACAAGTGCTTCCTTTATTCTCTCCCTCTGCATACCAGGTCAAAGACCTGCCAAGTATTTAGTCAAAAAAACCTGGAAGCAAGCAATAACTCATTGTGAGAAATATCCTACAGCCCTTGAAATGAGTACACTGTCACTTTCTCAGAATGAGGAGCTGTTTCTTCCCAAAGCAGAACTTCAGCCTTTCAAGAGAACAGTCAACGCTTTCTGTGCACGCTCTGTCAGAAGTGAGTGTGGTTCCTCTTAATTTTTAGGAGGACAACAGTGACTAATTTTGTTTTGAATTTCCATATATCAGCTTCTAGAATGGATGCACTACAGAGACCCTGAAAAAAAACCCTAATTTCTTACCATCCACTTACTTTAAAATGCATATAAGCAACATGACGTAAGTGGTTCTGAGATTGTAGTGAATAGCCCAAGATTGCTGATTACTGATATTCAGACAGTGATATATATAATCATATTCAGGCAATGAAACCTCTTAGCCTCGTGTATCAGGAGCATTAGTAACACCTGTGTTTATGCAACAGGTAAGTCTCAAAAGACTTTTAAGAAAATTCTTAGATAAAACTGAAATATTTTTCCCAGTTGCTAACTGATTAAAAAGAAGTCTGTACAGACTGCCTTGAACGTATGATTTACTCAAGCTATATTAATTGTTCTATGATCTTGACAGCTATCTTGAGGGAAGAATGAAGCCTGCAGATTCTGTAATATGTTTTCATTGTTTTCCCCAAGGCCTGTTCTAATGATCTGTACTGATTAAAATGACAATTAGGCCACTGCAAAAACTGGACATTGCGATATATTTCCTCTCAGAGAAACCGACAGGAAAAACCCTGCACAAAGTATTTCTACCTTCTCCTACCTATAAATCTAAGAATCTCAACTGGCACAGGAAACAATTCCTAGTATTTCACTTTAAGTCTCGGGTACCTTTGCAGAATTCTATATCTAGTGTCATTCTACCATCAAAGAATACAATTCAGATTCTTGGAGGACCTCAAAACCCTTGGAAAAAGTAGACACTAATTAACAGATTAAAGGGAAATGATGTTCTTTTCAACATTAGAAACATTTGTGTAGCAGTGTTTTTTAAAGGTAGTAACTCAGTAACCAGTTCTAGCAATAACAAATGAAACCGTTCTGGGATCCTCACAACCACTGCTACCACAGTGTAAGAGTCACTCAGCTGCAGAAGCATTTTAGTGCAGAATCACCATTGAATCACAGAATTCCAAGTTGGAAGGGACCTCAAGGACCATCTGGTAAAGAACTGTATGCATCAACGTTTTTGTTCTGCTACCATCTACTTTAACTGAAGCACAATGAACTTAATGAAATCAGTGCATGTTCACATTTCATAGAGGTAAGGACCATGACCAAGGGAAATTACTTACTCTGGAGGAGGCATTTTAGAAGGTTCCACATCTCGCAGAAACTCACACTGAAGAGCTTGTTCAGCTGTGCAGCGTTTGCTGGGATCCAGAGCAAGCATATAATCGAATAAATCTAATGCAGCTGGTGGGATGCTACAAAAGAGCAAAACAGAGAAAAGCATCACATTTTTATTTTGAATCACACACTCTGGGCAAAATTTTGATAAACATATCCCAAAATAACTAATCACGAAGTTCTCAGATAACTGACATCTTAACAAAACCTACTCACATCTTCAGCTTGGCAGTAAAAGGCAGAGATACACTTCACCTTTATTACCTGTACAAGCATATAACCCAAGTTTTATTTGCTTTGTGTGGTTTAATTGCTTGAAACATTGTCCTTACAAAAAAACCCCACCTTTTTAAGCCAAGACCATATTGTCATTTTACACTGTGGAATTTAGCACCAGGGACTTGCAGTTTTGATTGGTCCATGGACAATAATTCTATTGCTTTAAAGATATAAGTCTCATTAGTACAAACAGGACAATACATTCCTCCTGAAACCCTCAGTAACTGGAGAAGGGGAACATAGCCTTTAAAATAAGCTTACAGCTGTTTTCCATAACTTCCACGTGTGATATGTGCTCAAAACTAGTCCAATGGTAGTACTTTAGCATACACGGTTCAGATAACTTCGCTGTGTTGAATGAATTTATGACCTAAAAGACCGTAATGTTAACCAGACTACATATTTAGCTGTCGCCAGTTGTCCTAATAAAAAACAATTAAGTACTCTGAGCTGGTTTTTGGACAGGGACAACAAGCAGGTGCACCAATCATGGAAAACAAATGTTTCCTTAGGTGAAAGCTGACAGGTGGCTGAAATTTTAGGGCCTTCTTCCCTCTTCTTGAAGCTCCTATTAAATAAGGGTTAATACAAGCTCTGTGGGTATCACAGGAAGGATAAGAACCTAAAGCCATTTTTCTTTACACTTAATCTATATCCATTCCCCAGAAAACAGCAAAATTCATAAATTCTCCAGGAAAATTTAATGCTATTACAGTTGACTAAACTAATTCTTCATCCTTACAAAGCAAACTCTTCTCTCAGTTTTCGACGATACTGCTTCTTTGGTTTCATTGTGTTGAAATAAGCTAATTTTATAACATCAGGCCACACTGCTGGACAAGGACTCCCACAAATTCGGCTGTACCAAAAGAAGGGGAAAAAAAAAAAAAAAAGGGTATGAGATCCAAAACCACAAGTGAGCACAGCTGTCATTTTATTCTTGCACTACAGTGAATACAGAAATAATTCTTAAGTGTTCAGGTTCTTTTAGGTAAAATTTCTCTACTGTCCAATGCCCAACACCATTAAATAATAGTGAATTGTCTACGAAAGGTAACCACACCTCACAGAGTAAACTTACTTTAAGTAGTCCACTGTTTCTGTCTCATCTCACCCCAGGCATCCTCCACACAAATGTTTTGAAAAACTTAACCAACTATGTCTGGACAGTACTCCAGGTATTTGACTTGGAGAAGAACTGGGGAGCCCTGGTTTAGAGTGCTAATTAACTTTTATGTCCTTAGCTCCCCATGCCAGTGAAGAAAGATATACCACATGGCTGAAAAAGCACTTTTCACTGAGAATTTAGTTTACACTGATGACATAAAGGGGGGAAAAAAAAATATCTCAGTAAGCCTTAAGGCAGAAGTAAGATCCGACCACTAGAAAACCTGTGTATTCTTTACTTCAGTTATGAGTTTTGTCTCAAACCTCAATCTGTCTCCACAAATGGAGTTGCCATAATCTTATTCCTCCCATTCCATCTCCACTCATTTTGTCCAACTGAGGATGGCTAAGCACAAGCTGACTAACACCACACTTTTAAGCAGAACTAAAGAGGCCTTTTAGCATACATGCAAGGTTGCAAGCAGTCATGAAAGGACATTTTTCAAATACACTTCCCTAGTTCACCCCTCCCATTTATTAGATTTAAAGGGCTGGTGTAGAAGTCCTAATGATCTATTAGTTATGTCTCAAATGCTATGCAAACCAATCTGACTGTACGCTAGTTGGGGTATGTAACTTTCAGGGGGGAAAAGAAAAACGATAAATCTATCTTTTCCTATCTAGAATTTCCTTCAGCTCTATCTGTAAACAAAGTTAGAAATTATAAATGTAGAATTGTTGACTGTAACATGATGATAGTAAGGATGTTGATAAAATTGATACATTACGTTTAAACAGCCAAAAATGCATAGCATCAGTGAAGATTAAAAATGAGCTACAAACAGGAGCTTCCAGAAGAAAATCACAAAAATTTTAGTTGGCTGTGCCAGAGGCACAACACAGAGAAAAAGCTTCAAATGACTGCACTGTGACGTGCTTCAATGCCATCTAGTGCTCAAAAGCAAAAATTTCCCAACTCACGGGTTTAGTTTTTATACTGAGAATGATCACTGATACGCTTCGCACCTCCTAAAAACTTCATTTATCCAGGCTAGCTGATAACACATTGCACAGAAACATGCTACTGTTTAATCTGTTTTGAAAAACATCTCAATATATAACTTTGTAATATTCTTTTATTCATTTAATTTTAAAAATCATGTTGACCATTTACTGTTCAGGTTCTATAAGTTCTGTAAGACTCACCCTCTTTTCCCCTTGTTTCTAGGAAGAGGACCTCTCCTCACTTACGAGGTCAATTATGATATCAGAATCAAGAGCAATTTTTGCTTGCTGAATAAAGGGAAAAAAAAAGATGCTCTGGTTCCACTGAGTTATATACATATCATTCTATGATTTATTGAGATAAGGAAAGAAACAGAAATTTTACCTCCATAAACTGTCTGGCAGTTTGTAAGGGAAGAGAAATATTCCCACAAAAAATAATAAAAGCCCAGGTGTGTATGGGGAAGGCTTGAAACAAGAACTCAAGGCCAGTAGCATGCAAAATACCTAATCCTCCCAAATCCCACTTGTCCTTATTATTGTCCATGTTGTCATTTTGATTTGTTGCAAAGAAGTTGTAACATCATTTTAAAAAATAACAGGCATTTTGACTGCTCTCTCTTTACAGCTTCAGTAACAGGCAACTCCAGCTGCTCTACAAAAACCCCTCTTACTGTACATTGCTAGGACCACAGAATACTCAAGAAAATCTTTCTCCATGTCCAAGCAAAAGCCACTTGCTTGAGGCACCCCTCAAAACCGTTAACACTTTGATCAAGTCAGTAACAGTACTTCTTCTAAATGTTCACAGGGTGTTGTCTCCAATTTTCACACTAACAAAAGAAACCTGTCAGTTTAATAGGCACCTACTATGTGGTGGTGCTTGCAAGTTACCTTATAAGTTCCAGCTGAGCAAGTTCTTGATTTGCTTGAAATATTGGCTTTTTTGTAAAAAGTTCACCCAGGATGCAGCTGTAACACAGTTTTGCACAATTCCATCATTATGGCTTTCAATACAGATTGATAGAAACATTTCAGATTTCTTTTTGGCTTGTTTTTATGCCTGCTACACTTTTGTACAAAATTCTTACCCACAGCTCCAGACATCGATAGCTGGCGTGTATCTTTCTTCTCCAAGCAGAAGTTCAGGAGGCCGATACCATAATGTAATAACTTTGTTGGTATATGGTCGGCTGTTGGGGGGGGAGGAAAAAGAAAGGACTATCATTTTACTATGATCTCATTTCTGAAAAAGTGATACTTTGAGGACTTTACTTCTGTGGTGCTGTTTAAGAACACTATAGTCTTCTACTCCCTTTTCCTAATTTTAGTCCTGCAATGCTCTAACTGAACAAAAGCAAATACAACCCTCTGACCAAGGCTAACAAAGGACAGATTGAAGATATAAACAGTGATCACATAGCCATGTCAATGCTATCTCTATTATTCAGATAGTCATACTCTATATTTATTACATTGCTAGTCATTTTAGGAGAAGGACCTACTTGGATAAAGCCAGTAATTTCTGGACAACTATTGATTATTACAATACTCAATATACGACCTCTACAAACGTTCTGAAAAGAAAACAAAAAAAAACTCACTTTCCCCTCTGTAAGTAGGAGCAAAAGAGACAAAGCCTTTTTCTTGAACTATGTCCTTCAACAATTTTGACCCCAAAGCCTGGAACGCTTCTAACATCTTCCTATATTTCACAACATTGTTAAACCTCTACCGCTCTAACCAGAAGTTTTGGTCACTGGCAATAATCCCTTCCACCCTCACACTAAGGCAAAGATTTCCACATTTTTTAGTGGACAGGCCAAGATACAGCATCAACAGTTCAGACTGGAAGGCAGAACACAGCTGTTTGGTTTTGGTTTTGTTTCAACTAGGCTATCTTAAAAAGTGATCCCCAAAATTCTTGCAGTTTTAGTAATTCACTCTTACCAACATCAGGTAACCCCAAATAGAAAGCAGAGTAACATTAAGTGCAGACTTTGAACAACTGTAGCATAAACTCTAACAAGCTCTTATAACATACACAGTGGTACAGGTATCATTTCTGCAAAATCATCCGTCTTTTTTTTGTTAAGAAACTCCCTGATTCATTTTTAAAATGTAGTATGTTTTTGGAAACAATCATTTATCACATTTATCTCCAAAGCAGGCATTCCTCTATGAAATGTTTACATGGTATGGACTTTCTCTACAGATACACCACTCCGATATATTAGTATACGGTGCTATTTATTTGAACAGATGTTTTGTTACACAATCTGTCATATCTCCTACTCCAACACATGAAATGCACCAGAATAACATTTAAAGGAGCACATCTACAGCAACAGTGGGAACTTACGTAAAATTAAATTTTTATTTCCTCCTCATTATGCTCCTACTAAATTCTGTACTCTTTTGAAAAGTACATAAGATCTAAACAACAGTAAACCAAATGTAAATTACATTAATTTAAAGCAGCAGCAGCTATTATACATTTGTTGGTATACATTAATTACCTCTGTTACTGCAGGTCAGAAGCTACTCAGAAGGAAAATCCATGACAAAAGAATTGTCTAAAATCTACTAATATAATTCTAATTATCCTCCCCAAGTTCAACCAACAATTCTATTAGCTAGCATAATTACATTTTAATCTTTGTTTCATTTATATATAACAACGTTGCTGTGTGTTGTATATTAAAATCTGTTATTTGCACTAGAGACACTAAACTTTAAATCATTCAATTCTTAATGAACAGGTATTTTTACAAGCAAAATTTAAATTATTTTTAAAACAGACATTAAAAATCCCCACGGTAAACAAGAGGAAAAAATAGGTCAGTTTGGTGCATATTAAAATAAGAACATAGGATGGCATCAATCCCTTTTAAGTACATCCAAACCAAAAATTAATTACCCAGCAGCTTCTTAAGATTATCTAACCCTGCTACTATACTCATCAGTTTTCATAACTGTACTTAAGCATATGTTCCTGAAATAACAGCTCTGAAGACAGTGAAACTAATGCTATCAGGTTCAACAGGAAGCTCAGAGCTCTGTGAGAAAACAGTAAACTTCTAAAGCTAAAATTATGGGTATTATTTCCCAAATTAAGCATGCAGAAATCAGGCAGGCAGCAAATATTCTCTGTATCCAACTACCCAACATACACACTAGTGAAATGAACATTCAGCCTGAATTTTGTAAATCCAGTTCCACATGACAAACACATGACATGACAATATAAATACTGAAGTCCTTAATCATAAAAACTGTGCACCTGTTTCCTGGAGTACAAGCACAACGAAGCCAAGAACAACAGAAGCATAAATCACAAGAAGTTTCAGAATAATTTTTTATTTAAATTTGTATCTCTGTTCCCAGCAGATTCAACAGCACTGACTGCTAAAGAATACAATGAACCTCTTCAAATGTAAAGGTTAATTCTTACACAAAAGTAATGCTTTTTGAAAAGAAACAGTATACTAGTTTGTGTCAGTAAAAAAAAATTTGCTTTCCCTAAATAAACTTTTCCTAGGTATACCAACAGTAAGAATATATTTTAGGTTTCACAGGACCAGAAACTAACAGTAAAAACCTACATATTGATGCAAGCTATTCAGGACTGCAACTCTTCATTTCCCATCAATATATGGCCACTCTCAGCAGTTATTTATCCAGAACACTTGGAAAAGCAATACACTTGCACAAAGAGAGTTTTGTGGGTTTATGCAGTGTAAGACAACATGCACTTCTTTCCATTTCCTAAGCAATTACTTGCATTACAGTGCAACAACATCTTCCCTAAACAAAACAGACTTCTGGCCCTTATTAGAGTTAGGAAAAAGATTAAACTTCTGAATGCTTTTTCACAGTACAGTTGTATCTTACCTTTCTTCAGAGTTGTACAGCCGAGCAAGCCCAAAATCTGCAAGCTTTATCTGCCCTCTGGTGGAAAAGACAGAGAATTATTTAGTGGTTAATCCTGTTAAGATTTCCTCCCCAAAAATCAGGTGAAGTTTGAGATTGAGACAGCTGCAACCGATCTTCACCAAACCACATTAATGCGGCATTAATGAGGCAGTGCCTTACAATCTATGCATCTCTTCAGTAAACAAATACACTAACTTACTGAATAGCAAAGACAAGTAAGCAAATTTAGGTGTGATCATCAAATGGCATTTACATCATCAGATATCAGTCAAAATTTAGGTATACTGTAAAGTATTATTCAAATCAGTAACCCTTCAGGAAAAAACTGAGGGGAAAAAACTGCTATTTTCTCAAGCATTTGTACAAAAACCAGCTATCACCAGTCATGCATACTTCTTCCTTCTAGGAAGCTGTCAAAGTCCCATTCTGCTCCTGTAAACTTTAAATACAGCTTTCAAACCAGGGTGACCAACCAGATAAGGGCTTCTATTTTTACCAGCAGCCAACTTGCTGAATGACACAACCCCTATCTCCTTTCGCAAGTTTTCCCATATATGAGGGGAAGAGAAGAAGATACAGAGCTCTTGCCTGGCAGTTTCCACAGCTAAAAGGCACTGCTCAACGACCAGAATCCCCCAGCATCTGTAAAGTCTGGATGAATTAAACAGAAAGCTATCTGCAAGCTTCTCTAATGCGCGAAATGAATGTTGGAACGTTACACATGGGGGTTTTGTTTACCTGTACTTAGGAGCTTTAAAACTCCTGCTACTTTCAAATACATGCAAGTGTCACTTTCAAATAAATTTTATTTTATCAAATTAGGGAAAGACTTGCTGATGTGTGTAAGAATGACCACTTTGTGATGATAATAAAATATACAGGTTATAGTTTTCATTTCATTTGCCCCCTCAGATGTGTGCTTGGAATTGCTGAAACCACTTGGGAGAACCCCCATAAGCAGAAAAAAATGGTCCCTCTCAGATTTACATGATTATTCCTCAGAGACCGCATTTGCGGAAGATCAATGAATTTTTGAGCAAAGACATTTAAAGGTGCCTATCTAAAAGATATATAATCTATGTGTTTAACTCCAGGCTGTAACCGGTAATGGGATTTCAGAAACATTGGCTTAAAATTATTCAGATCAACTATCAACTTTTTCTTCTTCCCGTGGAAATGTCAAAAAAAATCCTAGGGGAAAACACTCTGTATCCTGGACTGTACAACGGTACAGCAGAAAGCTCCACCTCTACCATAACACACTTTTCTCCACTGTCAGGTTACACCTCAGTTTGAGTTCCCAAAGGTGCACAGACACAGCACCACAATGGGAGGTGAGCAGGCAAGCAAGATTAGGCATGGGCACAGTGAGTGATGTGGAGGTTCATCTACATCTGTTTAAGAGTCTGTATCATAATCTGGCAGGACTGTGGTGGGAATACAGAGCTGAAAATAGTCTAACATTAGTTCGTTATAAGGAAAAAAAATGAGGGAAAAATGGAAGAATTAATTTGGACAAAGCTGGGACAAAGCAAAGGCCCTACCAAAAGAGGCCCTTTATCCATTTCGTCTCCAACAGCAGCAGTAGATTTTTATGGAGAACATGTGAACCTGCTCACTTTGGGGCTCATCTTCCTTGTGCTTAACTGACACACACACAATCATTGTCTTAAGGATGCTAGAACAGGTATTCCTGTCTATTCCCTTTAGAAGGTATTGATGACCCTGTCCATGAATGTGTCTCATCTTTTTGAACATTCTGACACCATCTGGAAAACTTCCTGTGACAACAAATACGAGAAGCTGACTACGTGCACGGTGAAGATACTCCCTTTGGCTGTTATATACCTCACTCTTACAGTTGCTCCCTCATTTTAATCCTACTGATTTGATGAACAACAGTTCTGTACTGATCCGCTATCTTCACACAGGCTTTTTATGTGCTGCTGTTGCACACTGAACAAAAGTATGTTTGCTAATCTGATTTGTAATTACAAGTGGTTAAAGTAAGAAACAAGTTCTTCCCCCCATTTGATTATATATAGCTGTAACTGCAAGCCAAAGCATGTTTTAACATGCCTGACTGAGTATTCTTTTAAAGCATTATCCTGAGCGATGAAGACAAGGACCTCAGAAGTATGTCATGAAGAACCAGCCAAGCCACACCTCGAGATGGCAAAAAGAATACACACCAAACACTTATGTCCTAAAATTCCGTTTTAATGTATTTGAACTCAGATAATTTTCCCCCATACTGACCTGAAAGATTCAGCTTTTAATCCTGCTGTTTTAACACAGATAAATTTAACAAACAATTGCAGGATCCAGCGTTAAACAGTAATATCACCAGATTAGAATTTTACAATTGATTTTAAAGAAACTAGGCAATCTCAAAAAAAGTTTTGCTAATGTGTAAAGCAGGTGAATTGTGGAGATTAAAAGAAAGCTTTAAAGATGTTGTTAACATACAATATTTTTTACATGCTTTAAGTATTATCCATACCTATTATTCAGTAGAATATTTGAACATTTGATATCTCTGTGCAAAAAGTTCTTCTTATGACAATAGGCCAAGCCCTCCATCAGCTGTCTCATAAAAGATTTAATATGATTTTCATTAAAATGAACCAAACCAGATTCCAGCAGTCCCATCAAGTCATGGTCCATATATTCAAATACCAGGTAAAATGCACCTAGAAAAAGAACGAGAAAGGGTAGGAGAAACAGAGAGAGACAAATTGATTTAACAGCAGTCCAAAGCATTGCTGCTCCCTACTTTTGAAAGTATTTTTCACACAACTATTTACATTTTTTACAGTTTTACCGCATGTCCAATAATAGCAATGAAATATAGTGCAGTAAAATGTTTTCATAAAATTGCTTTTCCGTGTAAACAATTATACTAGTCAAACGTTTGTGAAAACAAATATAATGCTACCACATGGTGCTTTAATCTAGATGGACATGTTCTCTCCCCAAGGCTCCCAGTCTCCATCCATTTTCTTAAAAGAAAAATTAACTGAGCTAATATTCCCTACATAAACTTCAGGGGGAAATCTAGAAACAAATATGTACAGCATCAGTTTATCTGCCATGATTTGATAACTTGAGTTTTTCAAGCTTTCAGTGTGGAATTGGGTCAGAAATAAGCCTGCCCTTCTCAGACTAAAAATACCTAAAAGATAAAACAAGAAAGCAGAACTAACCCACACTAGCAACAACAGCTCTGCAAAGATGGAGTTTATATTCCAAGTTGCCACATACATACATTAAGCATAATAGAATCTGGTCTTATCTCACATTAGCCTGTGTAATTCCACAAATAAAGCTATTAAAGCCAAGGCACGCACGTGTGTGTGTCTGTGTGTTCTTAAAGATGAAAGTGCTGAGAGCTTCAGAAACAGTAATCGCCAACCTTCAGCTCAACCACTCCCAGTATGGTCTACTCTTTAGTACTTAACCCTTCCCCAAGACAGTGCAGTCCCTGCAAAGCACTGGTGGCAATGCAGAAACCACATTCAAGTGGGTCTGTCTACCTTCCCTTTTCAAAAGCCTCCCCCAGAAAGATTTCAAAGCCACCACCCTAAAGTACAAATAGCTTCTGCCCAGGAAGAACTCATTACAGGTTCTAGTTCCTAAATAAGGAGTTTCCATTCAGAAGTTAGTGAAAGTCTTGGAGCAATAACGAGAAGTCAGTTTGCCAGAACGCCACACACACAGAGCCAAATTCTAATGAACTGACTTGTTTTCTTGCATAGTAGCTGAAAAGAGAAGAAAGAGTGCTAAATCCATCTGCTATTTAACAAACAGAAAAAAAGATTACTCATACAGTAAGAGTTAAACTTGCAACAAAGATCAGCGTAGAGCAGCTAAACCACAGGCCACTGCGTAAGACACTCAGGAGTTCCTAGTTTTTAAGTTAGGCCCTTTTGTCCTGCCATATGTTGTACCAAGGAAGCAAAACACTGATCATAAAATAGCCCTGTTGGTGTCTACAGAGGAGGTGGAGCAGGAGGTAAATCGAGCAGGTACAACCCAATCCCACCACTTCAAAAGAAAAGGAGGAAGTATTACAAGCCATAAAGAACCAAAAGTCTGCTGTGTTACTATTTGCATAACTGAGATCACCAATGCAGTTCACCAGTTCAGCATGGCAAAAGTACATCTCTGGTGTTAGGGCTACCTCATGGGCAACTGCTGAAGTATGAGCCATGACATATTTTAAAATGCCTTGAAACAAAACACCTGACATTAATGCTACAGTGCCAGAATAATCTAGATACGCCCTTCAGAGGATGTGTGCTCTGGAACACAAAGGACAGTTAACTCTGGCATGGCAGTAAGTTACACTCTGTGTGTACATGACAAGGAGGAAGACTGGGAAGGGTCAGAGGGACTGTGGACCTGTCTAGTGAGAACAGCTGAACACAGTCGTCTTGTTTATATGCAAAGTAGGCTCCATGCCTTAAGCAATTTCCTGCTCTGCCACTAGCTCCTGGGGTTTTTTACCACTATTTATAACCAACAATCACAATCCGTACCCTCATGCAAGAAGGAAAGCTGACAACAGTGGAGACAATTCATAAATAAAAGAGAAGTACCTGGGAGATGACATCCAATTATTTATATTCTCTGCAACCCTCATTAAGAAACATACACTAGAACAGTGTAAACTAAACATTCCCTCCATATCAGAGCAACAGCAAATGCACGTATCCATTACACTTGCGCATTACTGACTATTTACGATCTACATATCATACAATGTTAAAATTGTTTTAAAAAACAAAAACTATCAAAGCTGAATCTTTTTCACTGGTTATGAAAAATTATTATTAAAACTAGTCTACTAGCCTTGGCAGTCTAGCCATTAAAACCTGATTTTCAGTATTACTCAAACTATATTTGGAAGTGATTGTAGCTGCAAATATCAAGCAAACTGAATTAAAACTTTTGTTGGTGTATTTCTAGACAAAGGTGGTGCCCTTTTCTGATAGATCTATAGTTCCTGTCAACAAAACAGTTACTTTATTCCACTTGACCATTTCAAATCTCCATTGCTTTTCATCAGATTGTGGGATCTGATCCTTCTTAAGAGGTAAAGAAGCTACAGATATTCAGGAAGAAGAAAACCGTCATGGAAGACAACACAAGTAAACTACACACAGGCAGAAGGCTGCTTACTACAGCATAGTCCAAGTTAGAGTTTACAGCAGCCTTTAGTTCACTCAAAACAAATGCCACACAAATATCCATTTCTCAAAAAGGAAAACAAGAAGGAAAAAAAACAATCGTTCTTTCCTTTATGAGGCCAAGATGTTTGATAACTCGGAACATACATTTTTAAACGACCTTTTGTTTCATATTAGCTTTGCCCAATATCCACATTTCTGGAAGCAGTGTCATAAAACCCCCTAAAGCCCTGTTACAGTGAAGTGCATGCAATTCAAATGAACCCTGAACTACTTACTTGACTTTAACATTACTCATCTTTACTGCTGTTATGTTAAAGACCTGCACTTCCCAATAAGTAAGTACCTGTGGGGTGTGGGGCAGCCTACAGTCCATTTCCACATGCTGCAACAAAGCACTTACAAGGGGGTTTATGTCTTGGGTGCCCCATTTCCTTTGCTAATACCACGCAGCTCATCTCCATTCCTTCATCTGCCGGGATAATAACAAACCTTAATGTCACTGCATGTTGATGGAGCAGCAGCTGGAACAATAGTAATATTGCCTGCTTCTGAATATGGGATAAGAGAGAGCAGCTGAATCTGTTAGGGAGGTATACAATAAAGGAGACTCACATGGATGGAAACAATCCTTGCCTTATTCCTTTTGTTTGCACTTAGAAAAAGTAATCTTTTTGACCATTTTGTCAGTTAGGTTTAAAAAGGGTGAAAAAGTGAGATAGTAGTTTAGAATAATTAAAGGATTAACACATCTCCTCCTCCTGTTCATGTATTTCAAGCCATGGAACTCTAACAATATCAGTTTTCTTCACCAAAACAAAAATGGGCTGGGGTATAATGCTGTAAAGCTATGCATACAAAAATGAGTAACTCAACAAACATGGCACTGATGGTCTGTAATAAACAAAGGATTTTCTGAGGGGCCAAAAAATCTAACAAAACATACTTTGCATTTCTGTGACATAAGCAGGCTCTGGACTTTTTTGGATCACCATCAAATCACACAGATCCAACAAAGCAGGACATCAAGTTACATATTTGTTCCCAAAGTAAAATACAAGTGCTTCAGGCTGGGGAGCGGTAGGGGAGAATGATCCAAAGCCTACACAGATGACAGCTTTTAAGCAAATATTTTCCCAATGTAATGTCACAGGGAAGGTGTTTGGGGTGTCTCAAAATATCTGATTAGATACAGATCAGAGGAACCGGGAGACCAGAAGGGCCTTATGTGGAAATTTTAATTCAATCCTTGTATAAATGCATTACAGTAGCATTTTGAAATACAAAAAATGCTTAAAAAACTCCAAAGGATCCCTGCCTCATTCAGTGCATGATATGTACAGGTTTTCAATATTTTATTCTGTACTCACTGTTCAGAATGAGACTCCATCAGACTTTCACTTTGCTAAAAGCCTCCTCAGCTGCTTTCTCTGCAAACATAATTATTTTTCCCCCCCTTGATTGATTAAAACTGATTGGATTATATTTAACTCTTCCATTTCCCTAACATTTCCCTTCTGGTATTCATGATATTCCAAGACAGTTTTAAACATAATTTTATCAAACAGAGCTTAAAAACTAAAGAAGAAACTGTTCAGCAATTCCTTGAAGTTCCTTACATTTAAATTCCTTAAAGTCCCTTAAACAGATTTTCATCTTTTCTTTCTACTCAGCTTTTACAAACCTATTCTATTTTGTGAAACAACACATAAAGGCATAGCCACTGAATTAATCACCTTAAGACTAAAGAAAGCATCGCCGCTATACTCATTTTTTCATTTAGATTATCGCAAAGCTTCCTGTTTGAGACAAAAATGAGGGAGAAGGTTCTGGTTTCATTAAACTAGATTTTATTTATTTATTTATTTATTTATTTTTTACATTTTCACTCAATAATTAAGTTTTTATTTGATGACAGCAGTATTCTCCCATTGTAAGTTCAGTTGCATTCTCCTATTGAAACAAAGCCAACCCAAACTCCATGTACACAGAGACATGTTCTGAAATGGGCATACCAGCCAAGGGCATGAGTCCTGGGAGTAAATAATGTCCTTGATTCATCACTGAACAAGTTTTTTGTTCAAGAAATCAAACAAAAAACCTAAAGCGAAGAAAAAGTAAACCAAACATATCAGAAATCTTTGATTAATAATCAGAGATTTTTCTTATTTTGCCCTAACATGGATCAAGTTGAAAAGCCACACAATTAGAATCTGTGCTCATTCCAAACCAGAGTTCAGGACAGCACACACAAACAGGAAGCACCACTCAAGAAGTCATACTTTTCCCGATAACTTTGCTGTAGCATGAAAAATATCTGGGTAGGAATTTTCTAACTGCTATTTTGGGAGCAGCAAGACAAGCTGTAAATCATTAGAGACTTCTGAAATTCAGATCAGTTTGGTTTTACACAACTTCACAGGAAACCCGGATAAACCTAGCTATGATACCCTGTAGTGAAGTACTCTCTGATGACTATGTGACTGCTGTCATAGAATCCTTCCAAACCACAAGCTTTCAGACAGACTAAGTACTCCTTGAAGGCTGTGAAAAAGTAACCTGCTAGTCCTATGACGATGGACCACAGAGTCGGTGTCAGTTTGACACATGTACTACAGTACTGTCAAGATAAATACTGACTTCATGCCTAAAAAGGTTTGTTAATTTGTACTGCAGATCAATTAAAAATTTAATCTAAAGTAAATTTAGATCTTAAAATGAAGTACAGAAACATACATACACACATCATCCCAACAGATAATCCACACAATGCTAACCAGACCTTTTTTAAAAGTCTCCCATGCAAAGTTTTACATCCTCCCTCAGGTTAGCAATTAAAAATGACTCTTCCAGTCAAAGGGAGGAAGAGGTGTCAGTCAGTACACCTACTGGTTTTACATTCACAGCAATAAAAGCCAGGTACTGTCCACGGGTTTAGTAAAAAGAGATCATGGCAGTCCCATAGCTAGACTGCTGAGCACTTGCAAACAGCTTCTAGCTGATACAGAGGCAAGTGGAACTGAAGGACCATCTCAAGTGACCAAAGAAAAGAGAGAGACGCCCAAGTCATATAAATGAGATACTAACTGAGAAAACAAACCAGAGCTGACAAGAGCCCAAAGGAAGTAGGATCTTTTTTCCAGTGATTAACTTCTTAACTGATGGAGTGGCTCAACTAACTTAGCTTGTGAGGTATACAGATTTGAATATACCTAGGAAATAGCTCTTTGATTTCAGTGTCAGTTCTACATCTTGTTTTCTTCAATTACTGTTGTACAGAGAACATCACACAAACTTTCTTGGACCAAAAAAAACCCCAAACCACTAAGAGAAGATTAAGAGCCTCTGCAAAGTACAATCCTCCTGCTCTAAACTCTGCCCCAAAAGGACATGAACTGAAGTTCATGAACGTGAACTCCAATTAATTTGAACTACTATGAAGCAAACAAAAAGGGAAAAGTGACGGAAAGCTTGGTTGCCAGCAGACTTGGTCATAAGCACCAGCTGTGTTAGGTTGCTTCTACTACTGTCAAAGACTGACACCCACAACTGCTCCTGCACTGTCTCACTAGAACATTTTCAACAAAAATAAAGTTCTGAGATTTTAGCAAAAAAAAATTATTAGAAACTATAGCTCATTGGTGTTATCAAGTCAAAGGCAGCTTTATGTTCCGAGAGCAGAGGAGGTTTTAAAAGAAGTGTGTTGGACATACTGTTAAGTCAGCTGTTACGCAAATACACACACAAGATGGAATACAAACCACAAGCCATGTGTTCCCATCCCCAAGCCTGTGTGTTCACCTATCTCCCTCTGAATGGAAGGCAGGGGAGAAAAGCCTACATGAGAAACACACAGACTCCTTCTCGCCACACCCAACATACACATTCTATCTGGCAGAACCGTGCCTCAGAACCCAGATGTTACACTAACGATTAGTAGTCAGTAATGCTGTTCTTCAGCTTTATCACCAAGCATGTCCGGTACATAATGAAGACTGCAGAAGGAAAAACTTCAGATCTTCAGTGTAGTAGACCCCTGTATCACGCACTCAGCTGTGTATCTGTCCAACCTATACAAATAGCTGTGGTGTCTGATGAGCTGTACTTCCACTGACAGAAATATCCTTATAACATACGTGCAACACTGCTCCAATGTGTAACATTTCTTTTTCTAATGGTTGGTTGAAAAACAATAAACCCAATCCTACCTATTAAAGATATTCCTATCATCAAAATTACACCTAAACTGGCCAGGATAAAAAACACAGATATATTTTTTTTCCCCACTTTCTTCAAAACACTGTAGAAAATACAGACAAGTCAGATACTTGAAAGTTTGGAAGACATAGGATTATATCGCTTAAAAACATGTAGCACAGCTCAAAGCATCCGGGCAAAGCTGTATAAGCCAAGTCATTGCTGGTTTGCAGGCCAATGTTACTATCTTAAAAAGAATCCTTAGAACAAGTACTGTACAAAGTATGCCCAATATTTACACAAGTGTCAGAAAACTAAATTCGCTACACTTTAAACTACTGAGATCCAACAAAAAAAACCCACCTTAAGTGAATAAGTAGATGAGTAATAGGTCAGGATATGATAGGTGTCCTTAGACACAAAATTAACTTTACTCATATTAACTAGAGGAACATGTGTTGCCAGAAGTGTTCTCATTCCCTACTTGTACAAATGGGGTATCAGCAGGGCTTTGTATGAGCTGTATTTCAAAGCTAAGATAAGCATATAATGTACGTTAAGCATAAGCATGTTCATCAGAAGGCAAAAGACTTTGCTTCTCCTGTAAGCTCTGCCTGAGCAAGACATTGCTATCACTTTCATAATGGTTCCTTTTTAAGCCAAGCAGACTACTTTTGTGTTTGCAGTGGTTTACCATGAAAATGACCAAACTTCCGACTGCTTGCATTTGTTCCCTGCATAGACTACAATTTGGCCACAGTGTCTCAGCTATAAATTCCTATTTCACAATGAACTACTCATTAGAGAAATACAGAATGCCGTGCTTGAAAAAAAAAAAAAACACAACCCACCAAACCCTTCCATATTTCCACAGACAAATCATAATAGCACAGTCTCATTATCATGCTACTGCTCTCGAGACTATCAGAAACTAATTTTATTCTAGCATCTCCAGAGAAGCCACTCCCTCTTGAAAGTTTTCTGAAAAATTATTTTTGTAATAAGCTGTTAAATAAGAACGAGAAATTAAATTGAAAGCAATATCAAAAGCACAAATACAGACTTACACAAAAAAACCCTTTTGAAATTAATGAGACACAGTTTGAAGTACACCAAAAAAAATTTACAATTCAATCCTAGACATGGCACCAAACAGAAAGGAAGAAAATTAACTAATGAGTCATTAAGTATTAAGTCAAGGTTCAGTGTGGTCTCATTAGCCAAGTGGGTTAGACCTAATTAAAACTCAGTACAAGATTCACATGAAAAGCCTGAACTGGCTGTTGGAGACTGTCAGGGTTCAGAGTAGGTGCTGACCACTGAACCTGCACATATTTAGAGAAACTCTTTTGCAAGGTGCTTTCTACTTTTAAACACAATAAAAAAACCTGTCAGTGCTGTATACCCTTCAAGGTATTATACTTTCTAAAGATGGTAGGAAAAAACAAAAACTAGTTCCTACTTAATTTTGACAGCCATCTTCTGACTCATCACATCACCTGGTGTTTCTTCTGGCTATGCAGTACATAGAGCAGTTTGGACCCACTGGTGCTGGACATGCTGTACAGAAACTCAGGATGCACCACAGGTACCACATTCCAAACACACTCCTCAGCCAAACCATGTATCAAACTGCCCACAAGACAATAAAGTACCCCAAAATGACAGATTTATAAGACTTGAACCTAAAAGGAAATGGCCTCCAAAGACAAAATGACCACTCCAATATTGAAAGTACCAAGCAACAACACTGCATGATTTCTACTCTGTGTCATTGATTCTCTCATATCTAGGCTAATGAGGTTGCAGTAACTCAAACAAGCCAAGCTTAACACTGAAGGAAGCAAGAGTAAAAGTCTGTATTGCCTTCTATTTGAGGAAAAACACCACCACCCCCCAAATAAGCTTTTTTTTTATGTATCCTTCTTCTAGCCTTAAAGATACACATGCCCAATTATTAAAATAACCAAAGCACAAGTCAAATAAAACCAAGGCTTACAATGAAAATCATCTCTTCAGTATTGAGCCTACAATACTTTAAGTTATATGACAAATACTACAAGGAAAATAAAAGGCTAAAAAAGCTCAAAATTAAAAGCTTCCTGTCAGTGGTGGGCTCCCTAATCCCTGAGTGTCAAGGAGTGAAACATGCTCCTCTCCAGCAGAACTGGAATCAAATAATAAGGTTTTTGTATCCCACAAAATACATTCAAAAATGTTTCTATGAGCAAAAGACATAGCTGAGTTAAAGGATTTCTATTAGTAACTAAATAAAAATTAAAACCCCTTGTCAAGCATCGTAATTTGCAAATGTAGTCCGGTGTATCAGACTACCAAGAACAGGACCGGAAAGAGCTACGCCCATGTTAGCGTACTTACCTTTGTCCTTCTTAAAGTCCAAAGCATCTTCCTTATCTGTCACTATTTCCTTCATGTTGATAATGCTTTGGTGATTAAGCTGTCGAAGAATCTTAATCTCCCGAATAGCTGTAATTGGAAACCCTTCCTTTTCATTATCCAGACGTACTTTTTTTAGTGCCACCATTTCCCCTAAGACAAAATTTAAATAAAAAACATTAAGATTAGCAACCAAAATATGGTATTTAGTATTGAGTTTGCTCGTTGGCTTTCAAAACCTTTCCCCCATTTGTTTTTATTTCTGAATGGATTAAACAGTATTTTGATGCTTGCACCAAACACCATGCTGAATGGAAACAGAATTAACCATTGTTGGGAAACAGTCACCTGGAGAAACAAAACTGTAAGTAAGAATTATCAGCTACCCACTGTAAGGCCTGTCTTCTTCCCCTGCATACCTCACTCACCTGTGTCCTGATATTCCACACCAAGTTCACCAATAAATCCTCACATTAAGAGTGATTATCAACAGCAGCTTTAGAGACAGAGGCCTCTATCTGCTCAGGATTTCTTACTACTACATCACCACAGGTCAGAACACATACATCTAGCCAGAAATATTACATAACTCAAGATATGAGGAAGATTAGTAAAGAGTTCTCAAATACATCAGTATACTTTCTACAATTAGAAGTATCACTGCCATGTTTACAGTGAGGAGAAATTTTCCTTATTATTTTACTGCAGGCTGGGCTGGATAAAGCTGGATTCTGCAAAACAGCAGGAGGATGATCTACTCATGATGGTGGATATCTGAAGACTGTATGACAGCTCAATCATTTTGTTCTTGGAAGTTGATTGCTGTGTCTGGGAAGCTTCTTTACAGCACAGATAGATCTGTCAGCTCTAAAAACAACTTATCCTGCACCCGTGTATATGATACATACACACTAGATCACATTCCAGTATGACACAACATCCACTTGCTTTCAAAGCCCACTGCGCAGCTTGTTATAAGGCATCTCAAAGGCCATAATGCCACTCTTCACACAGGATTTGAATCCAGAGCTAATGGAAGGTGTACTATAACTGTATGGACCCATTAAAAATAGCGAGCAACAACTTCTACGGGAAGGTAAGAAATGGCTGTCACAGACAAAGAACATGAAGCTTGCCAAAGAAGCAACATGGTTACAATAAATGTGCAAAGAGAATTCCAGGAGAGCAGAAAGAAGCTCCTAATGATGATTTGCAACAGTTCTCAAGGCAGAGGTAAAAAATAAAATCTGTGGCAGTTCAACTTAAGAACTAAAGTTTGCAAACTGAAGGAAGCACAGGTGAAGAATGAAGAAGGAATTATAATTATACTGCTCATTTTCTGGAGATCAGAAAGGAGGAACTGAGGCTGGTATGTGATCCTGTGTGATTCAGTTACTGCTGAAGCAGAAAATTATCCAGCGTTCAAAGCATGCACAAATAAACCAGAAGGACAAGCAGTCACAGACTAATTGAACATAAAATGATCAAGCAATACACGGCACATATGAAGAACCAATTTCAGTGCATTATCTATTTAGAAGTAGTAACATTATCTCTTTAGAAGTAGTAACTCATAGTGGTGACTATGGTGCTCATCTAAGCAATAGTTTAACATGAAATTTAAAAATTATGTCACTGTTGTAAAAGTGAGTTATACTGCAAGAAAAATACCCATTATGCAACGCTTCAGGGCTGCGTTGCAGAGGCACATTCTCTTCCTACTATCAGCTAATGACTGTTGGACTACAAAGAAGAAAAATGGCTAAATCCCATGTTTAGCTTCTTTCACCCTTACATGCCTTTTCAAACTTCATTATCCTTTGTCAACCTGTCTAGGGTGCCATTTTGTTTTCCCATGGTATTTACCCTCTCTTCTTCACAAGCTCGAATGTGTATAGTGTCAAAACGCAAGAAGTAAAAATTAGAAATTAAGACTGCTCAGCTTGCTTTCAGCTACAACTTTACAGATAAATTATTTTCCAATGCAGAAAAAAAAAACCCCTTCTGATTTAGACAAATACTAGATTTAAAACTAAAGAAATCAGCTACTAAAAACTTTCCAAACATTAGAGGGCAGAATACCACAAATTTTACTAAACGTAAAAACAAAACCAAAATGTTTTCTTTAGAATTGCAGGTTTACATTTACTTTTTTAACTTACCCGTGTCTTTATCTCTGGCTTTGTAAACTTGCCCATAAGTGCCTTCACCAATAATACCAATGATATCAAATTTATCCACACAGCGCTTTCCCCAGTCTATTTCTTTTTCTTTTGTTTCACCATGTCGTGGTCCACATATTCTAGAAAACAACAAACACTTGTAAGAATACAGCTAATATATCTAAGGATTGTCTTAACTTTGAAAAAACCCTCAACACTATATTTTTACAAGACATTATTAGATAATTGGCTTACTAACATTAAGTGACAATAAACCACGTAATTTGAGTCAAGTCTCATTAATATCAAAAAAGTCATTAAAAAGCAGAATTATTTTGAAAAGAATATATTTTAAAGAAACTATTATCACTTCTACTTGCTTCATAGGCTTCAGAAAAAAATACAATAAACATACTTTGGTCTTCTCTTGCTGTGTAACTGAACTGCTGGTTTCTTTTCTTCAGGACTTTTGGATAAGTCAGCTCCTCCAGGCAACTCAGGTGGAAGTGGCAAGTCTGCAAGCAGATGGCGAAGTTTCTTCTCTGCTTCTTTAACTGACTTCACTGAAAGATTCTCTCGCAAACTATTAAAAAAACAGAATTTTGCTAATAATTTGAACACAGTAGAATGATATTACATAAAGGAAAACCTATTGGAATTATTTTTTTTAAAATACATTCCAGGCTGTCGATGCACCATCATTCAAACTCTTGGCTCTTAGAATTTGCAGGACTTTCATTTATGCTTTGCAAATGTCTCACAAATAGCTCTCTGGAAGATGCACACAGCTATTAACATTCTACAGAAACTGTGGAAGCAGATCTTTCTGGTCAAAGCTGGCGTGAGATGACACAGCAAGCCTTGCTGGGCCAGACTTCTACCACACAAGCTTCTTCTCAAGCTTATGGCCTAGATAGACTATTAAGAATATTTAGAGCTCAGGTACTGCCAGACATCAGAAGTGTATTGGTAAAATCTGTACTCTGACTGACTTCTCATATAAAAGAGAAGATTATCCTAATCCAGTTCTCTCTAAAGTTGGTCTCCAGAGGTAACAAGCTTTGTGTTACAGTAACACTGCAGAGCATTATGAGGCAGTCCACGCTACCTCATTTACAGATTCCAATCTCAGATGTACTCTGAAGCACTCCAGATTCAACACGTTTCTAGTCATCAGCATACAAACCAACCAATTGGAAAAAAAATAAATCAAATGAAAAACTGACTAAATGTTTTTCCGTCATGGATTACTGATATCTGACCATTTTTTAATCACCAGCCATAACCATGTAACAGAAACCAACAGACAGTCACTCTGTCCTGAGAAAAATCCCCCAAACACGCGTACAGTAATTTAATTTTTAACAATTACTACAGACAATAGTTCTAGAGATGCTCTTCCCATTCTAATGAGGAAATTCTGCAAATATCATACTTGCTGCAGGATTTTTTTTAAAAAACATGGTTTCATTTTACCAGAATTTCCTTTAGTTTAGATAGATTTGTGCAGCTACTGCATATCCAGTAATTTTAAAGCCACAAGCATCTCTAAACTTTATGTAATTACATAACAGTTTCTCCCACACAGAACTCTCATATAGTATTCTCTCTTTAAATTTCACACTTTATCATGGCATCAAGAAAACTTTCTGTCATGCTTTGAGGGGACATTTTCCAAGATTGCTGCATTCGCGAAATAGCACCATTCTACTGTCAGCACACTTCTCTGGGAAGCTTTTCTGGAGGTTTTTCTGCAATTTCTTACCTACTTAGTTTCACAGATCAAGCAGGAACTTATGTAAATAGATCTTGCTATCTTCCATCATGGAGAATGCATATATTCTTACATTAATTGTTATTAGCAATCTTTATATAGATAAATAAAGCATTCCAGTGGTTTGCATAGGTGTATGCTTCCCCGTGAAAACACAACACTTGAATGTCTTCTGCCACTTCTCAAGCTGCCACTGCCTGAATTTAAAGCAGCACCTCAAAGAGGCATATACTACCTCATTACAAATATAATGGTTAACATGCTATAAAGAATAAACCACCTTTGGATAGTGCATGTAATTATCATGGTAAAGAAAAATTCTTAATCTTGATGTTCATATATTTGTATTTCTTTCACAATTTTGCCCCCAAACTTTCAATATTAGAGAAAGCACAATATGTGACAGAATGTAAAAGATTTTAAAAGTGGTACATGAAAACAGAGGCAGCCAAGAGCAAGCTTTTTTCCAGGTCTGTTAAATCACACATCACTGACCACCAGAGGAGTTTTCCCTTTCAGCTAACCTAGACAGCAGCTCTGCAACACTGCTGTTCCTTTACGTAGTTTATTTATTGGTTTATCAGATTCTTGGTGAACTTCACAACTGCATCAAGCTTTCCTGGTTGGCACAATTTCCCCATAGTAACTCTGAGCCCAAGGTAAATATCTTTGCTCTCCTCCCCTCTAAAAAATATTATCATGACTTGTAATCACAACCATTCTGATCTGATGTTTATAACATTCTATATGCAAAACTAAGCATAGCATAAACAACATTCTATTACTTCTCATTAATCTTTCTAATGCAGCTGTTTGCAAGATATTTTTTTTTTTTTTTTTTAAAGAACAATGAGCCCAGTGCTGATAGAACCATAGCTTATTTGTAGCTGGACTCCTCTATGCAGTTTAGCTATACTTTAAAAAAGGTATTACATTAAAAAATACTAATAATGAGAAGTAACTAGCTAGCTTCATGATGAAATCTCATTTCATATTATTGCAATTAGCACTGCAACACCAGTCATATTTAAACTAGTTAGCCTAGTTTTTAGTTAAAACAGTAAATCTTGCTGACAAATAACAGTATCAGATATCCTGTTTACCTAGAGAGGATGATTTTGTCACAAATTTAAATGTAACTATATTTGCCACACAGGTGTGATTCTGAACAACTGGAATGACACTTGCTACAGTGCTGAAGGGCAGGAAACAACATTTCTCTTCTAGTACTAAAAAGCCATAAATCTGTCTGGTACCTTGTTAGGTTGTATTTATCTGCCAAAGCATCCTAATGTTTAACATAGCATTAAATTACCAGCAAACATAAGAAAAACATATCTCTAGTTATAACTACTTTTTCTAATCAAACACACTACAGACTTCTCAAAGGACAAGACAGGCTCGTTTCACAGATGTGGAATACAAATACAGTACTTCATAAGTTTTTAAATTTCTCTTTTACAGTTTAATTTTTTACAAAGATGTATCACACTTAAATTACTTATTACTTCGGTGCTAAAAAATTCTGGTTTACTTGTTGTGAGAAGTTGATTTCTTCTACACGTGTGACAGGCATGTAACAACACAAGTGAAAACAGAAGTAACTTTTCTCAACTTCATCACCAAACCAAGAGAAAAAATAGTAAATTACAGCTCAACAGCATGATTTCCCAATAAAAATCACAGCATGTATTTTCTGTCAGGACTATGAAGAGACTTAAAGTAGTCTAAACTCAGATGACACTTGGAATACAGACATGATTTTCTTCATACAGACCAATTTTTACTCTTTAAAATTTAACACAAATGACAAGCCATGAACCTCACTTCCATGATACATAACTCAAAATAAGACTGGTCTCTGAAATAAATTATACTAAAATAATGCACAGCTATAAAAACAACTGCCTTCCAAAGGAAGAGAATGTTTATGTCAAACCCCAGCTAATTAAAGAATTTTCATATATTGCTACTGAATTTAACTTTTCCCTGGATGTACACGTTTGCACCGAACAAGAAATCTTAAATCCTCGAATGCATCCTTGCATTAGTCCCAAAGCTATTATCTACCAGCAATTTTAAATCTTCTCTTTAGAGTACCTTCTATTGAAAGATTCTTCCCAAACTAAATACTTCTCTTTTCAAGAGCCAGTTAAATTATTCTTAAGATTAAATTCCTTCAGTTTACTCACAATCACCACATTAAACAACTGAAGAGCAAGAACAAACTACCTAATGCACCAGCCTGATCTAGCAAATAGGTTTGTATTTATTTTCCAAAGGAAGTAATAATAATTATAACAATAATTAAAAAAAAATACAATAACAACAATAATGAAACGGAATTGACAACCCCAAAAAGAAAATCTATGTCACAACTCACCTATCGGTTTCTTTATCTTCAGGCAGCGTGGGAGGCAAAGGCAAGGGTGGCAGTGTGGAGGTTGGTAGTGCAACAACTCGATCCTTCTCCTTGGCTACTACGCTTGGTGTACTCGGTTTGCTTTTCTCTTTTACAGTGACTGTTGGCTGTTTTACAACAGTTAATTTATTCTCTTTTACTGCTGTAGGTTTTTGTTTAGTAATTTTGTCTGCAATTAAATTATTTTCCCCTTTTGTTTCAGGAAGCGAGACCTTTGCCTTTGCCTTGTCATTTTTCAAATTTGCACTGCTTGTAGGAGAAGGTGTATGCTCAGTTTTTATTTTCTTCAGGTCCTTTACATTGTTCACTTGAGGTGCACTTGCAGCAGTGTCAGTGCTTCCCTTAGTAGGTGTTGAAGTATTAGAAGCTTTTGCACTGGCCTTGGCTGCCTCAGCAGCTCTTGCTTTTTTGTTTTTGTTCAGCTCAGCAGCCAGGCTACTCTTCAGAGTCAATGTACTAGGAGAAATACTTGAATGACGACTTCTCGATCTAGACAACCTGTGTCTGCTACGAGACCTTGAGTGCCTTGATGAATATGGACTTCTGCTTCGAGATTTTGCTGATCTCCTGTTTCAACAAAGTAGAGTTTTACTCCGTTAAAATTTAGTCTAGCTGCTTTCCTCCAATGTATCTGCTTGTTGGACAATTTTAAATCAACCATTATCACCATGCTTATAGTATAAATGAAAGTCTACAAAATAGGAAAGATCGTGCATTAAAAAAACATATTTATAGAGTTTGATCCATTAACTCTACACCTAAACAGGTTGTTAGAAAAAATTAAAGCTTTCTTAGATGTAGTTTCTCACATTAAAGAACTGCAAAATGCACGAATACCTACCTATAGGACAGATCTGTTCCTTTTTCCTCACTACTTAGAGATACTTTTCTCCTTTAAAGAAAATCTGATCCTATGCAACTTGTGCAAACACCTTTGCAGATGGCTACATGACCAGAATTCAACAAAATGAAATTAATGTTATAAAGTGACAAGATAATCTAAACACAACACCGAAGTAGTAACTGTAGCAACGTCTTGTTTCACTTTCACAACGTCATTAAAATCTGTTAGTAGAAAAAAAAAAATACTAAATACTAAAGGCTGCAATATAACCAACTGAAAGAAGCAATAAATCTTAGCTTTTCTATTTTTAAATTTAACTGTATACTTTTCAAAAAAAAACCCACAAAAATACCCAATACTTGTTACAGCTACTGATAAGGAAATATAATTCACAAGTAGGCCTATGCTACGCCTGCATCAGAATATAGAGGCTAACAGGGGAACAAAAAAAAAAAAAAAAAAAAAAAAAAAAAAAAAAAAAAAAGAAAAAAAAAGGCAGTCTAAGCTATCTACAAAAATATAGCAGGAAAATTCAACCTAGAATGAGGGCGGAGGTGGGGGTGGGAATCTTAGCAGTTAAAGCACTTTTACTGTGCAAAACCACCATTTAGTATGAATTCTTTTTCATTCAGTTTTTCAAAGGGATATCCTAATTTGCCTAGTAGTTTTGATTCAGTTCTTCATTAAAAAGCAAAAGAGAAAAAACTTAATTGAGGTGAAGGGCATGGAACAAGTCAAATAGCCTAATCCATTTATATCACACAGAAATGTTATGAAATAAATGAAATGTGAGGGGTTTAATCCATTTTACTATACTTAGAATAGCAAGGGTATTCACAAGATTTACAAGTAATTTCTTCATTGAAGTTTGATGGAAGTCTACTTTGCTTGAGTATACCACTTGAAGGGAGGAAAAAGCATAATAGGGATTAAAAAAAAAAGCATTCATCAGCTGGACAAAGTATCACGCAAAAACAAAAATAAGACTTCTTGGAGATACAAGAATTTCAGAGTTCAAAAGAAAGCACCAGTGTACAGAGGCTGCCAAAAGAAACAAACAAAACCTCCACAAAACCAAACAAACAAACCAACCTAAACACAACTAAACAGCCAACTACAATCATTATGGTCAGGACTATCCACTCCTATGTTAAATTTAATTTTAGTAACAACTAAATTAATTCTGTTTTAATTACCAACACCAGAAATTACATTTCAATGCTTCAGCTAAACAAATACTTAATATAGTACAATAACATTTCTATTTTCTGTGCAATATTTCCTAATTTTCAAATCTACACTTTTTTCCTGCATTGTAAAAATAAGTCTTTTCAGTCTTCTTTCTAAAGCAAAGTCTTTGAGATAAATCAAGTTTACATAGAAGTGACTGAAAACAATGCATAGGTATGCAGGCTGTATACTACAACAGCACAAGCTTCAAAATTCTATAGGTAAAACTGAAATTGATCCAAATGGCTAGAGACCCTTGAAAGAAAAGAAAATAAAATAAAATCACAGATGAGGACAACTCTTGGAAACTACACAATTCAATTCTATGCCAGGAAGCAGGTTTTATAAAATTTTCTGGCACAGCAGAATAACAATGACAGATGGTAACAATAATAACAACTACAACAATAATAATAATAGAAGTTTTTTACACCTTAAGGGGAAAAAAAAAAGCTACACAACTCTGTTCTCTGAACTTTCAACCCATAATGTAAGGGTTTGGTTCACTTCAGTAGAGATATTAACGTCCATTAAAAACCAAAGAAAAACCATAATATTGGTCAGAAAACATTTCCCTTGAAAACTCACTTCTGCTTCATTATGAATTATGTTGCTGAAGTTATTTTGCTCATTATTACTTTGGAAATCTAAGTACTAAACCCCACAGAAGATTTTCAGAGTAAAAGCAAAAAAGGTCAAAATCCCATAAGATGGGATAGTAGGAAGAAAAAGGAGGGCTGCGACTATCCAAACAATACATACTCTTCAAACACTAGGCCAGAGCTCTCCTCACACTGTTATCTCACTCTCCGAGGGGAATTATCTTAAGCAGAGGTATACCACTACAGATCCACACCAGCTGCAGGATCAGTGTAATTATATTACTCCAGCATCGAAACCAAGCTAATAAGACCCATTTGTCCTAAACTGACTTCTATAAATGGTGCATCATTTGCAAGGATGTCACTGACCTATCTTGGAAAACATTTGCTTGCGCATCCTGTTCCTAGATCAGCTATTGGAAACTAGCACTCAACTCCAGTTACCTGTAGAACACAACCTCCATACCAAGGACCTCACTGAAACCTGTACTAAGCTTACAACCTGCCCTAAAGGTCTCAAAATCAGTTAGATTTCTTTCATAAGTACAATTTCTGGTTTGTTTGGGGGGGGTTGTTTGCTTGTTTTGAAAGGAGCCTAATATAAAGAAAGTATGTCACAAACAGAAACATGGATGTAATTCCACATGCACTTGAAAAGAGAAGTAGCAGCTTAACACACTACAGTTGCTGAGATACCATGCCTGATCATAAGACTGTTTCTGTTCCACTTTGGTTCAAAGTAAAACAGGCTCATTTAGGTTACTACAAAGGATGAAATGAGAAAATCTGTCCAAATTAGCGACTACTAATGCTCACCTATCACCTACCATAACTTTGTGGGGAAGAGGCAGTTTTGAAAAGCTGGGGCAAAATCAACCTAAATCTTTATACTTTCTTCAAAAGCAGACATGTAAAGAAGCCAAGTATTGACAGTGGATTGATATACATATTTCACCAACCTTAGTCACGACTCTGGGATGTGAATGTGGATTTATGCAAGCTCAGCAAAAAACACCAACCATTCTCCATCCCAGGTTCCACACCTCAAACGACAACAGCATAACTTTCTCATGTCAAATTGCATCCATGTGGGAGACAGCAAATACACATGCACACCAATATTCAAGTTTCAGTTCCAGTACAAACTACAGCCTTAACAGCAGACCAAAATGATAGTAGCCTAGTTATGAAATACGTTGACTGAATATAATCGCTAATATAATGGTTTAATTTTTCCAAAAGTTTTCCATTATTTAATTTTACAACAGCACAAAAATTTATGTCACATTACATAGTGCATGTCTGGACTAATAATAAACATAGCTTCCTTTGGTGTCCCTTTGCAAGAATCCCTTGCTGTACCTTGTTCTCTGGGCTAGCCCTAAGAGTTAGATCAAAAACATTAACACTTTCAACTAAACAGACATATGCTGAATCTTAAGCAAAAGGCAGTTTTGTTAAAGTGCTAGTTATTCAAATTACAATGATAAAATCTGCTAGTTTTATAACCCTAATGATAGTTTCAAATATTCAATTATCACTTTCATCAGTGTTAGTTCAAAAGTCCCAAGCGAACCTTCCAGGCTAGACAAAACTCATGTACAAGTTATGCACAAAAATGGCGCAAAACCAAAACTATGGACATTTACAAGCTTTCCCTCAAAAGCATATACAGAAGTCAGAATGGAGAAATATTGCCTTATATCCATAATAAAACCAGCCAATTCACTCTGCTCAGAGCTAACACTCATTCGACATAAAAGATGATGTCACAGCAGCACAGAAATGGGCTCAGACAATAGCCAGTGTCTGCCATTTAACAGGACACTGACATTTTATTGGGACCTTGAAAACACACCAGGAGAAAATATATCTGAAACATACAGTACTCACTACAACTCAGATTGTTATTAAATGTGCATGCATGCACACATACACACACACACATATAAAACACCTTATCTGATGTTCAGTTATCACCAACTATTTTGTCTTCAGTTAGGAGTTAGGTTTTAACACAGCAAACAGCAACAAAAGAACAGCAGCTACAACTGCAGAGAACTGCATTGTAAATAGCAAACAAATGCAACGAAACAATCCAAAACCTTTTTCCCCAAGCTAGGTGAGATGAGGAAGTGTACTGAACCTAAGGGCCACAGCCCCACCTCCCAAACGAAAAGCAGCTGGTAACACCCATGGAGACAGACTACTAAGCAGCCACTTGTTCAGGGATGTTCCCTCTTATGGTTCTTCCTTTTTGCACCCAGAAGTTCTGCTTAGCCATTAACAGTCTTCTCCAAGCTTCTTCAATTCACTTCACCCAGATCTATATCCCTACAGAGAGAATAACTGCCAGAGTTCAGATCATTCATAAAAATCACTTCCAAACCACAGACAGATTTCAATGTTTTTATATGCAGAGGGAAAAGAGGAAAAACAAAAAAACAACAACAAAAGAAAACTGATTTGCCTAAAAACCATAACTATCAGTAGGATTGGTCTGCATTAGTTCTAAAGCTGCTTTTTTTCTTCCCCAGAGGCATGCAACAAAGACTAGGAGCACAACTAGATTATCTGCAAAGGGAAATTGAAGTAATTACATAATGTTATGTGTAGCTATAAAATAAAACCAGAAAAAAAGTTCAAGACATTATCTACAAAGCATGTATGTGAAAAAGCAGATTTAAAGAACCTGCTAGAGGAAGAAAACACTAGTAAGGAAGTCATCCCAAACCCAAACTCATCATTGCTTTCCTCTGTTTTTCAGAGCAACAAAAAGAATGCCTTTTTTCCCACCTCTAAGAAATAATTAAAAAAAAAAAAAAAAAAAAAAAAAAGCAGCTTGGTTTAGGTATCACAGTTTTTTCTTTTTAATATTTTTTGCCTAGCACCCTAGAGTCCATAAAACAAACCAGTGCTCATTTTTAATCTGCTTAATTAATACAATGTACTTATTCACCGTCTAAAAATCCTAAAGATATCAGGTTTTACAAAGCGTTCTCAAAGGTACAAGTTTCAAAACTGTTACAATGTTCCTCCTTCTCACAAGGCAACATTCTATCATACCGCTATTGCACATGGTTAACAATTACCAAACAGTAGATTTATTCATGATTTTTTTTTTAAAAAAGTCTACTGATGTAATACCACATTCTCAAGCACAGAATGAAAGAATTCCAAATAGTAACTTAAAACTCAAAAAGTGCTGTATTTTACTATATTGATACCTGAAAGCACAGAGGAAAGAAAAATAACAGTGTTACACATGTCAGATTTCCAGGAATACACGTCTCCCTCAACTCACTTGTTATTTCTTGCCGTGCTACTTTTCTAGGTGCTTCTTTCTTTCCCATCCCAATCCTCCCTTTATTTTAATACAAAAAATTTTATTGACAAATCAGAACAGTCATGTGTTATCTTTCTCACGTTTGTAAACTTGAAAACCTCTTTTCTTCTTAACCGCTTTAAGAGCAGGCTTAATCCAACATGCTAGTAGCCAGCTACGTGCGTCACCTAAGCACAAACAATGTATTACGGTCTACGAAGTTGAACACGGGAACTGAATCTGTCAGTAACTTTTGACAAGACATAGCACAAAGGGATTCATGAGAATAAGAGTGGAAAAACAAGAAACCAAACAGACTGCAGGAGGTTAAAACACCCACTGTGACCCAGCTCTTTCATTAACTACGGGTGAAAGCTGCGCTACTGACTAAGCACTGCCATCTTCCCCTGCATGGTAAGGTCATCGTGTATTTGAAAAGGGAGACCTAAATTTAATCAATTGGCTTCACCGCAGATCTTCCAAGACATTTATAATCTCTCAGTAACACAAACCACCTTGACAAAACATTCTAGTTCATAGTATAGCTCTTCCACATTGCACTAGGAGGTAAACATATAATTCATTTCTTTAAGCCGTAACAGTAATAATAGTGCTCTCTCACTTAATGCCTTATTAACTGATTTTATTTATTTTCTCTAGCCCCTAGTTCAAGGTTATATTCTAAGCAGCTCTGCAACCAACCACCTACTCAGCTGCTTTGTGCATGAAGACTACGTAACTTGCCTGTCTCAAGCTGTAAACCTTGAAAAACGTCTCCAATACATATAGCATAGGAATACTGAAAAATCCTGAACATTAATTTTATTTGTTTCTTAAAGCTGCTTTAGAACCCTGTGTTTTCAGATAAGAACTCTGCCTACAGAGAAAACAACCAGCAAAATGCCAACTCAAATGCTGTGTTCTAAACACATTAAAAGTCATTTTTTTCAAATGATGTCCCTTTCCACAATAAGGAAAGAAGCAGCGTAATGAGGAAAAGGAAAGGCACATTAATATGACGGGCTGGGCAAAAGGCAAAGTCCAATGCCAAGTAACAAAACAAATCTTAATAAATTGAGAATATGTACTAGAGTGAGAGCCTCAATACGCATTGGAAAAATTAGCTATTCTGAACAGTGAAACTGTAGGTTTTCACTACATTTTAAATTCTGCAAAATACTGTTTTACTAAACAAGATTAGAGCTTTATGTAAAAAAAAAAAATAAATCTATTTTCACCAAACAAGGGGAAAAAATGTCTGAAAATCTCTCCTACTCCTTTAAGTCCAAATGTAGCAGAATTACTGGATTCAAAGTTATTTTTGTATCTGTGTCTTCTCCAAGAAGTAGGCATTTACTAGCTGAATATGTATTTTCCCTATGCTTGTTTTGGTTTTGCACATAAATGATCCATATTTTGCAGAGCCTCACTACTACAGACTAGCTACAGCTAGAGAATGAGATGGCTCTGTAATAGCAATAAGAAATCTTGTATTTTTCCTATAAGCAACATCCACACACACAGTAGTACTATGATAGTAGTGCCCCACCCACTTACTTTTATCTAGGCAGATGGGTAGGTGTATCCAAATTTGGAAAAAATGTGATTACTCATCTATACAGCTAACTGAATTAAATGTGTGATCGCATAGCATATGACCTGACTGAAGTTATGAAAAATAGTTCTTCCCTTCCTACAATTTCATCCTAAACTAGTTTCCAAAGAGAGACTGTGTCTGCTTATTTTGTCAACCATAGGGTTTTCTCCCCTCCCCCCCCCGTTTTTTTCTTGCTGGTTTTTTTGGTGGTTTGTTTTTGGTTTTTTTTTAAATCCATGCAGCTTATCAGTAAATAATACTTCATACTTTTGGTATTATGGAAGAATTTCCATTTTGAAAACGTGCATGTGCTACTTTAGAACAGCTGTGCTACTATCCACAAGAAAATATAGCAATACAAATTCACCAGCAGCAAGTAAAGAGGTTTTGTCCAACAAATGAAAACAGCTCAAATAATCAGTTTGCCCAAAACACAGACGTTTACTGCTATTATAATGGAAAACGCAATTAGTCTACCATTCAAAGAGAATTTTCCAAGTGTGGAAAGCTTATCTAGTGTCTTTGCTTCTTTTCATAACCTGCCTCGAGGCAACATCACCGAAAGACAGCAGTCAGAGTTACTACTACAATTCAAAACTCTTCAGCAACTGCGCTGTTGGGATACAACTGAGCAAAGCAGATTTCGCTTGTTTCTCTTCAACCGCTTACTAGAAGTTTCTCCCTAAGCAGCTCAAAGTCCTAGATGAAAAAAATCAGCACTCTAAGACACATGAGCTTTCCAAGCGTGCTAGAACCACTTTGTTCTCATTTTCTACATACCAAATTAACTAGATAATTTTATGTAACATCACAGAAGACACATGTATGAGATCTAGAATGAAAAGAGCAAAAAGACTTGCAGCCTGGAATGCTCAGTCACATATAAAGTTCTTACTGTCTTGACACCATTACAGCTGGATACAAGCCCGGAATTACGTCTTTAAATCATCCAGATGAAGACGACAGGTGCTGCAAGAAGCTGTTGCCGTCATGAAATCATAATATTCTATCAAGTCTAAGGCCACTATACTATTATCTAAACAGCATAGCAAAAATTTTCAGCGTTTTGGGCACAGTACCACAGAGTCAAGCAAAAGAGTGATTATGGCACAGTTTTCAATGGCTAAAACAATCATATACCTTCCATCTTTGTTTCCCCACCACAATACACATAATGCACAATGGCTGTATAGAAGGAAAGAAACTTCAACTTCCATTTCTGCACACCAGGCAAACATCACAAAAAAACTGATCTTACCTTCACACTTTTGGTTTCTTTCATTTTCTGTGAAAATGACATTTTTACAAGGAATGCTGCATTAGGACTGACCAACCGTGCTTTCTACAACTTTTTCTTTCGACTCGGCCATTCCAATCCCTCCCCAGTAAACCTGACAATCTGCATTTGTTAGCAATGTAATTTATCTGTATGCAGTTAAAGATGGAATGCAAATTACAGTTTAGCTGGAGGAAGGCAGGCATGAAGTCACAAAGCTAACTCCCAGGAACAGACCTGCAGCTCAAAAGGAAGATTTACACGCTTACCATGGAGACAATACAAAAATCAGGACATTTTAACTCTCACGCTTCAAATCACAGGCCTGCTATCAACAAAGAAACACAACACTCCTACAAAACTTTGTTCTGTAACTGTCTCCTGTACAACATCTCCTGTACTTTCTACTACAGCCCTATTAGTCAGTGCGTAAGACAGGATCCTAAACTAACTGGAGCATCAATCTGATTAATACAGCTACTTGTAAGTGCAAACCTAGCTACATATTTTTGTTCGTCATTATCAGCTTTCTTATTTGAGGATATAAGCACCTGCAGAAAATCATCTGATTTCTATAATGTTTAAGTCAAACTCTGCACATAATATTCCTGCTGTTCTATTATTCAAATAAACTCCAAAGAGTATCCTTAACCGCTTGTAACAGGCTCTCGCGACGACGTGCTGGTTTTCAGAGCACTCGCACTGTTTTCTGCTTGAAAGACCCTATTGTTTACAAAATTATTCCACACAACCATACCTTAAAACAATCACTGGGCTTTTTTTTCTTTTTTTCCAAAGGCACCTTTGTTCTATCCCTCTGAACAAAGTAGGATGTGGTTTTGTTAACTTTGCTCTTTAACCAGCGTTCCATGCACACCCAGGACAGCAGACTCTACTGACAGCCCACAGGAACAGCTTCAGCATCCTCACTGGACACACTGTGGGACAGCCCAAACAGTACCCCACGTGAAGTGCTCATCAGAAACACCAGTCCTCAGACAACCCGCCAGGTAATGCCTTGCATCCAAAATTCCTGCCAGTGGTATGGCAAATCACCTGACGTTTCAAACTGAAGTCCAGATGTGAATTTAAGTAAGCCTATAAACAATGAGGCCACAGCCAGATTCCAATATGGGAAATAAAAACCTTCAGTTATAAATACATACTAAGCAAATCCTTTAAATTCCCAGTGGTTCTGCTGAAAGTCTGAGTATCTTGAAGAGCTTTAGTTCTGCAACACAGTTTGTATCTGTACAGCCCACATTTCTTCTCCATATAAAATTCAAAGAGTCACAGCAACGCTAAACATTACATTCAGAGTTCCCACTAGCAGCAAGAAAATGATTTGCAAGCACACATCAAATACAGAGATGTATGTAACCTTGCTGGGAAAAGAGCTTACATACATTTTCATAGGCTGTGTAAAGCACAAAAGATAATTTAACAAAGCTCAACACTGGCTCCTTTCCCTAGCAAAACAGAAAGCCTAAGTCTTTCGATAGACCTCTAAAAAGAACAAGAAACACTTGTAACACGAATTGCTTGTCAGGTTGTTTGCTCTTTAGATTAGCAGGAATTAAACCGAACACAAATATATTTAGCACACATCCTTTTGTACGGGGAACAGGACACACAGAAACGTACCCGAGTATCTCTGCCCTTTGTAAGCAAAGATTTCAAAATTAAAACTGGTCCTTCAGAAAACCTGTACTCTGAGAAGCATCTTCACTCAATCCCTCTCACCTGAAAATGTTCTCATGCCTTTTAATACTTAAAAAGCCTTTTTCCAGCTAAGTAGTCTCCCACGGAGAGAGACTAGCTGCACGAGCGTTACAGACATCCGCATCTCCCCGAGACAGGACAGAAGATCTTTGTACGTGTCCCGCTCCCCTTCCCCCCAGCCCAGCTTTCTGGCAGGCAGAGGGAGGGGTTTTGTTGCTAGATGCAGCCTCTCCGGCCAGCCCTCCAGCCCAGCCCCAGCCGCGACTCCCCTCCTCCACACACCGAGCCCCC